AGGGACACACACACACACACACACACACACACACACACACACACACACATAATCACTTCCCTTCAACTTGTAGAAGAAACCTCTTGTTTATTATGTGGATGCAATGCCTATCAATTAAAAAAAAAACAAAAACAAAAAACCTATGGCCTATAGCTGAGGCAGGAAATAGAGCTGGAACATCTGGCAGGCAGAAAGAACTCTGGGATGGATAGAGCCAGGCATGTGGAGTCAACCTGCAGGATGTTAAGAGGACAGACACATGGTACTTGAGCCCAGGTAACCAGCCACGTGGCAGAATGTAAATTAGTATAAATGGGTTATTTGAAGTCATAAGCTAGTGGGAGAAGAGCCTAGCTATATGGCCTAGATATTAGTAAAATAATAGTTGAGTCTCATGAGTCATTATTCCAGAAACTTGGAGCAGAGAGGAAAAACCTCCTTCTACACTGGCCAGCCACCTGAGAGTTTCTAACTGACATGTAATTGTTATATCACATGAAAAGACACAGCACGGACGCTAAAGCTGCTTCTGACCCTTTACCTGAAAGGCCAGGACTGGAGCCCTGCTTTGGTCCACATACTCTCCCAGGACTCTACCCAGCCTCCTTCCTTTAAGGGTTTCTGTCCCGGGAGGGTATATCTTGATCTTGACGTGCCTACTTTGCTCTTCTGCTACCAACTGACTTGGTGCCCCCTCTTGGTCAACGAGGATTTTGATTTTGGGTTCACATTACCTTTCTAACATGTGTCAGTTTTTGGCTCCATTATCCACTTTCCTGCTCATTTCACCTTTTTTCTCACCATCCCTGTATCTTACCCCTTTACAGCAATTTCTCTGGCTTTGACCAGCCATCCTATCTCCCTAGTTCTCCATAACCAAACATTCTTCTCTGTTTCAAACGCATCTTCCACCACACCCTCTCCATATTCAACTGTCCACATTATCAAGATCTCTGACTTTCCAGCTACTCCACAAATTTATTTGCTCTCTCCATGTCCATATTAGTGACATTAAACTGATGACTCTGCTGTCCATCAGACTTCTGAACCAACTTGCATTTCTCTGCCTCATACTTCCTGTGACCTAACTACTCACCACTAGGCTTCACTTCTTAAAAGCTCTGTTTAAAAAACTGCCATCATGAGGGGTAAGCCTCCAGAGCACAAACTGTTGGTGCACAAACCCTAGCAAATGGTTACATAAACGTTTACAAATGTTTTATGCAGTTGAATCACAAACATGTCAAATTTTGAATGCTTCCAACAAATTGATGTTGAAATCAATCCTCATCTGAGGTATTAAGAAGTAGAGTCAGGCTGGGCTTAGTGGCACATACCTTTAATCCCAGTACTACAGAGGCAGAGGCAGAGGCAGAGGCAGAGAGAGGCAGAGGCAGAGGCAGAGGCAGAGGCAGACAGATCTCTGTGAGTTCAAGGCCAAGTCTGGTCTACATAGCAAGTTTCAGGCCAGCCAGGATTACATAGTGAGACCCTGTCTCAAAAATAAAATAAAATAAAATAAAATAAAATAAAAAAATAAAACAAAACAAGAACAAAAAAACAAAATAGAAAAAAAAATAAAAGAAGGAGAAGGAAGGAAGGAGGGAGGGAGGGAGGGAGGGAGGAAGGAAGGAAGGAAGGAAGGAAGGAAGGAAGGAAGGAAGGAAGGCAGGCAAAGGAGGCAAAGGAGGCAAAGGAGGAGGAGGATAAGAAGCAGCAGAAACAGAAAACAAGCAGGAGGGGGATCACGTGGAGTTTTCTGAGGTCCTCCTAAATGAGGAGAGATTAATGTACTCGTGGACTACTGAGCTCTTTGTCAAGCGGCATTGTTCTGGAAACAACCTCTCTCTGACATGTTTTGTCTTTCCATGACATGCCATATGCTACTTTGCAACAGGAGAGAATCGTCACCAGTAAGAATGTCCCCATCAGATGCCTCAGACCATTGGCTAACATAAATATTTACGTTATGATTAGTAACAGCAAAATTACAGTTTTGAAGTAGTAACAAAAGTAATTTTATGGTTGGGGTCATCATAACATGAGGAACTATATTAAAGGGTCACAACATTAGGAAGGCTGAGAACCACTGCTCTAGACAAAACTGGCTACAGTTTCTTTGCTAGTTCTCTGGCCCACCCCTTCCCCCGTGTCCTAGTTAGGGTTTCTTTTGCTATGATGAAACACCATGACCAAAGCAAATTGGTGAGAAAAGGGTTTATTTGGCTCACACATTCATATTACTGTTCATCATCATAGGAAGTCAGGACAGGAACTCAAGCAGGGGGGGAACCTGGAGAAAGATGCAGAGGCCATGGAGGGGTGCTGCTTACTGACTTGCTCAGCCTGCTTTCTTGTTGAACTCAGGACTGCCAGCCCAGGAATGGCACCACTATTTAAGAAAATGTCCTACAGCTGGATCTCATGGAGGCATTTTCTGTTGACACAGAATACTGAAGACTTGGGTAACTTACAAAGTAAGAACTTTGGGCCCATTGCCAGGATCCAGCCCTGGCAGTTTGACAGGGTGGCCTGCCAGAGGAGGTAAGGAGTCTGTGAGAGAGGAGTGAATCAGGTACAGTGGTAAGGGGAATCTTAGAGCTCTGACTGACTAGCAATCAGATTGCTTTTTTTATTGTTTTAAAGAACAAAGACAGACTAGTGATTATCCAATAAGTGTAGATTATGTGTTTGTTTTTTTTTTCATTACATGTCCAGAGTTACACATTCAGCCACAATTAGGAAGTATAATTAGAAAAGATTTTACTTTTATTATTAGCACTACAACTTCAATTTACAGAACCTAAATAATGTCTCAAAGCAAATACATTTGTTATATGACACCCTGCGTTTTTAAGCTAGCAGTAAATGCAGTTTTAAAGTACTCCAGACAAACAGAAAATACCTGAGCAGGTCTTTTTGTGAATAGCAAATATTAATACCTAATTCCTTTTACTATATTGTTTCATCATCTATGATATAAAATAGGAAAAGTTGATTTTAGTCAATCTATCTTATTTACTGAGTTCTATTCCTCCAGAGATATATGATTCCCTATCTTTAAACTACATTTTCAAAGAGCTCTAAGTGTATGGTAATAGGACGACTTGAATCTGTAACCTGTTCTCCTGGCCAGTCAGAGTTTGTCAATTGCCTCTGTTTACTCTGCACTAATATACTGTTTGAGGGTGCTTGGAGGCAGATACTCCAAGATGCTTGGAGTTATGGCCTGATTATCTATGCTTATCACAATCTCCAGCACACAAGGAAGCCTTCCAAATAGATACAGATAAAGTTATTTCTCCTAAAAGGAGAAGTTTAAGTAAGCTTAAGACTTTCTCTAAAAAAGACTCAGACATAATTTTCTTGGGAAAAAGAAAAAAAAATAATGCAGAAATTTCCCAAGAATGCAACAGTCAGAGACCAGAGCCTAAAAGTGAGAGATAGAATGACAGGGATTGCAGCATTCAGCTCAGCTTTGCTGGAACTGTGTGCAACAGCTGTGCTGGGTTCATGACTTTTGCCATTTCTAATGGCTATGGCTCTGCCGGACCCCATGGTCCTTGAGATTCTTGAAACCCGAGAACAGCACCTGACTTCTGTTCAGCTGCAGGTTAGATGCAGCTGTCCTGCTGCATCAGCACGTGGCAGGAAAGAGGGGGGCAAGCGATCACAGCAAGAGCAGAGACAAAATTCTAGAATTGTCTTTACTCTATACCCATGCTGTGGTAACTATCCACAGTGCGTGAGAACTGCATGATCCCTCTTTAGTGACAGAATGTACCGTCCCTCAATCCTGTTACTGTGGGAACTCTTAATGGAAATTTTACATATCTATATACAAGAAGGACAAAGATCACCACTCAAATACAGTGTAAACAAGAATATACTACGGATTAATGAACCATATGTTAACAGTCACTTTAGCCACTGCACGGATACCACAAACATTTTGTACGTAAATATATATCTATACTTTTTAAACATTCTGTCAACTAAAAATGAAGTTGGGGAAATGTGTGGCTTTCCCCAAAGCCCTTTGGGAAAAGTTTGCTGACCACATTCTGGAGTCTTTAGTAGCAAGGCTGAGCCCACCTTTTTTACTATATCAGGTGTCCAGCATCAGCTGAGAGGCCTTCAGAGCCTGGAGGCCCCATTCACTGCATTGTTTCTAGAAGGCTCTTGTTGGCAGGGCATGCTAGACAAGCTGGGTCAATTCCCTTCTGAATTCTGCAGAGAAGACAATACACTCAAAGGTGTCAGGTCCAATCAAGGGCAGCCCAAGAAGCCGTTACTACCTTCTGACCCTTTATGTTCAGTTCAGGGGAGAGAAAGGGAGGGCGTGGAGCTGGTTAGAGCTTTCACCAACTTTCTGGAACCTGTGGATTTGGCTGAGTCTCAGGTAAAGCCATTTTCAAAGGGAAATCCCCTGCTTATCTCCTCTAGCAAACGTGGAACTGGATACTAAAAAGCAGCTTTACAAGGAAGGGAAGGGGTTACAGATCCTGGTTAGAGTGGACATGAGGGGGACTGTGCCAGGCCACGTGCGGTCACAGACTGTACATATGCATGCTTGGGGCTCCCTGCATCTGTGTGTCCAGGTACAGGAAAGGACTTCAAATGGCAAAGGGCTGTGGATTTTTCTTTTTTTCTCTGATGCCACAGGGTGAAATCTTTTGTTCAAAATGCATTGTATCATGCTTCTGCCTTTTTTTTATCTGGTATCAGCTGTCATCTCCCAGACCCTGGAAACATTGTTCGTTCCCCCAACCCTCCTACTAACCAAGCTCTCTCATCTTAGGCCCCACTAAACGCTAATTTCTGCTTGTGTCGAGCAATTCGCGCCTTGATGTTTGAGACAATTTCAGGAGTCAGAATTCTCAAGTCCTGGAGGGCGTCCAGTAGCTGCTGCCTGCTGGTACCAATAAAGGAATTCTCGAGGAATGTAGGCAGGCCTCCCATACCATCTTGCAAGATATACAGGGGCACTCGCACCAGGCCAAAGATCTGTGAAAGAGAGGAGACAAGACAAGACACAGTTCTCCCTACAACAAACTCTTTCTAGAGCAGACACCTCTGCAGAACAAGTCCTAAGGCTTCACACTTCAGTGACACCCAATGGGCCTAATGTCTACAGGCAAAGGCCCCCAAAGCTTGCTGTATTTATCTCTAGGCTGATCCTTCCCACAGTACTTTCTGGCTCTTGTGGCCTGAATTGAGGCATGGCAGATGCAGGCACAGCCCTACCCCATCAGAGGCACCACACAAGCCACATAGGCCTCTCCAGGGAACTCAATGAAAGAAAATCCACAGACCTTGAGCCTCTTTCTCCCATAACAAGGGTGGTAGGAGGGAAGCCTACGAATTGCTTTTTCACCGGGGAACTTGCTAGTGTGAATGCAGGCATCACTGCCTGTCCTCCCCATGAGTTTGGTATGTGCCAGAATCAGAGAATCACTTCTGTGTACACACCTGTCCCTTTCCTCCCCTAAGTAAATTAGGGGCCCAAAGTCAATGGACTGTTAGGGTTTCATGCCTGACCGCTATCACACTTGGCTGAGAGCATTCTAGAAAAATCTCTGCAGAGGCCAGTGAAGTTCATGCCTGCGTGTGTGCATGTGTGTATGTGTGTGTGGACACTGGGAAGGGCACAAGGTCTGATGACCAGGAACTCCCAAGGGGTCTTTGCTTGAAAAGGGACCTCAGAGTAGGAAAACAGGTAGGGGATACAAGGTCCCATGCTGGCCCCACCTCTAGCCCAAAGTCCTTGGAAAGTGGTGCCCTGGCTTCCACGGTCTGGATCTGCTCTAGTGACAGACACTTGACATAGAAGTGGATTGCCACTTTCGATTTGGTATCGGCGAGGGAGTTTCGGTAGTCGCTGGACTCCACGGTGAAAGTGGACACACCATCGCCCAGCTTCTTCAGCAGTTCCCTGTTTAGCCCGTACTCCAGGTTGGGGCTGTCATCATCCACAAAACCTCCAGGGAAGCCCAGTCGCCCATCAAAGCGCATGCACATCTGAGGGAGGAAGGAGTAAGGATTAGCTGGGAGATGGAAAGGTGGCTCCAGGAAGGGCACAGGGCTAGAGCAGCTAGTGGCCATCTCCTCACCAGCACAGCATAGCGAAGCTTAATGTGGCCATCGAAGAGCTTCTCTGGATTGGGCGCGTACAACATCACATGACAAAGATGGCGCCAGTCGGACCCCAGGGCCATGGCTTGCGCCAGGTCTATCTTCTCGACCATGGCCATGGATGGATCTTTGCTTTCATCTGATCACATGGTTCTCAGGAGGGTCTCACCACTGACCACCAGTCCCTGCAGGGTCCATGAACAGAATGGAGACACCAGTGCAGGCTTTGCTAGTGGAACAGCAGCCAATCAGGCTGCGGCTTTTAGGCCAGGCAGCGAAGAAGGACCTAGGGAAGCTGAAAGTTTCCCCAGGACAGACCAGGGAGTGGCTAAGGGTGTGGCTGGTATCCTAAGTCATAGTAGGGAGGCCTGAAAAGCTCTGTTGCCTACTCTTTGATCACCTCCCCTTGTCAGGCCACAGAGGAAGAGGATCCAGACAGTCCTTACTTGATAGACTAGGGTCAGATGGCAAGGGAGGACTCCCCTTTTCAGCGGACTAGGGGAGGGGAAGAAGGAGGGCAGAGAGGGAGGGAGAGGGTGGGAGGAGATGAGGGAGGGGGCTACAATCGGGATATAAAGTGAATAAATTGTAAAAATTAAAAATTAAAAAAAAAGAAAGCAAAAAAAGAAAAAAGAAAAGTTGGGCAAGATCAGATCACCAAGGCGTCCTGAAAGCCGAAGGAACAGGGTGTTGAGTCACCTCAGGTTTGGTCTGGATAGGACCAGAGAGTGAGCGTTGGAGTTGGTGTGGGAAACAATGAGTAAAAACGTGACCTTTTTATTAAAGAGGCCTAGAGAGTTTCCTGGCGTCTTCTGATGTTCGAACTGTCAACAACACAAGGGTTCCCAAGGGACCAGGACCTGGGCCTGTAACAGAACAAATCTGCCCACCGTCCCTTGATGTCGGACTTCCCAGTCCTCACAACTATGAGAAATCAATCTTGGTGGTTGGCATCTCTAGTCTAAGACACTTGGTTGCAGCTGCCGCGACGGACCAAGATAACAACCTTCAAGACTTTGGGGCCTACTGGTCAGGTGTATTGTAGAGTCCCTAGCTACCCTCCTCTGAAAGTATTTATACTCTCTCACGTTATTAACTTATGTCGGTGTGAAACAGCATAGTTGCTGTAGTTTGTTGTTCGTTGAGTCAGCTCTTCCGTGGGCTTCCTATGTTCTTCCCCTTAGCAGAAGTCTGCCTTCTCTTGCTGCTGTGCCCTCCTCTCCCACTCCTGTGCATAACAAGATGCTTCCTGCTCTTCCTGACTTCACCATACATGTTTCCTACCCACGGGCTTGTTTCTTCCTTGAAAACTGTCCTGGACAACATGTCTGTCTAGGTAGAATGTGACCGTGTTGGAGGCTCTGGGCCCTTTCAGCTGGCAGAACAAGGGGTTATGTGTGTTCAGTGACCCTGCTTTCTCCCATCTCCCTCTGTATATCCAGCTGTTTCTACATATAAACATCTGCATTATATTAAGCTGAACAAAACTTCCTGTTTCCAACTCTGATCCACCACAACATGGACCATCCTAGTCTCTCCCTCTGCCTTGCAAAGATATTCCTTTGTATTTCTTATGAACAGGTATGTTACGATTTAGCTCCGGCATTTTGGCATTTTCTGCTCTAGACGTGCACCTTGTTTAGTTTAGTTGTTTGCTTGGGCTCTTTCTCACAGCTAAGCTTCTTCTAACTCCTGGAGTTGTTCTATCCAAAGGTAAATCATCAGACTTCAGTGACGCCTTCAGCAATGGTCACTGCTAAGGATTCTTTTTTAAAATAATTATTTAAAAAGTAGCAAAGCTGCATATGGTGGTTCAAACCCACAATTCAGGACATGTGAGCCTGAGGCAGGAGAAGTGCTGAAAGTTTGAGGACAGCCTGGGCACGGAGAATTCCAGGGTAATGTAGATTATAAAGTGAGAGCCCTCCCATATCCCCACTTCTATATACATGGGCACGTGTGCATGCACACACACACATCAAGTTGTGCCCAAACTTAGCACCTAGTATAAAACATAAACTCAATGCATATTCATACAAAGGAGTAGACCCTGTCTGTGAAAGACACGGCTCAAGTAGATTCCATTTCCTCTCTTGAAACATTATGAAAGAGAAAGAAAGAAAGAAAGAAAGAAAGAAAGAAAGAAAGAAAGAAAGACAAAGAAAGGAAGGAAGAAACAAAGAAAGGAAAAAGACAGGGTTCATGCTTTGCCTGGGCTTTTTTTGAAAAGAAGTAGCTGAATTTTTTTTTTTCTAAAAGCCACAGTCTATTTGAGATTACCCCCTTCCAATTTGTAAAAATCAATGCCCCTGCCCCAAATCTGGGGATTTGAGTGTCAGAGAAAGGACAGAATGCTGAAGGTTAGTTTATTGTGATGGTCAAGCACGGATCCTGAATAGCAGAGGGTCATAAACATTGGTCTATTGCTCTGGAGTTTCTGGATTGTCTCAGTGTGTTTTGTTGTACAGAGGTCAGGTTCCGGGAGGACTCTGCTTCAGCTCCCACACTCATGGTAGAGGTGGACAGGCTGGAGACGACAGCAGGGTGATAGAGCATATCCAAGGGACCAGGGCACTCCCAACTCAGTGAAGCCAGGCTCCAGGGTGAAACTCAGAGCCGAAGCAACAGCCTTAAAGTTAAAAGAGAAATAGCCCTTAAAGTTAAGAGGCCACAGTCAGGGAGGATACGGAGGGGTGAAGGGAACCAGACAACCCCATTTATCAGAGCAATAAAAATCACATTCTGGATCAACATGTTTCTAGCTGCAGAAGGGTCACTTCCCAGACAAGTTTGGACTCAAATCGTCTGTTCTGCATGTCTTAGTCTGTCTCCTGTTGCTATAACAGACTCCACCAGTACCTGCAGACTAGGTGTGGTAGTTTGAGTGAAAATGGCCCCCATAAGCTCGTAGGGGATGGCACTATTAGGAGGTGTGGTCTTGTTGTGTGGCGTCTCTGGATGTAGAAAGAAGCTGAGAAGCTCCTTTTCCAGCACCACGTCTGCCTGGATGCTGCCATGCTTCCTACCATGATGATGATGGACTAAGTCTCCAAAACTGTAAGCCAGCCCCAATTAAATGTTTTCCTTTATAAGAGTTGCCATGGTTATGGTCTCTCTTCACAGCAATAGAAACCCCAACTAAGATGATTTATGAAACAACAACCACTCACCTTCCAGTTTTACAGACTGGAGGTCAAAAGGTTAAGGGGTCGTATCTAGTGAAAACATTCTTGCTGAAGGAGACTCTGAGAAGTTCCCAGGTGGCACAGATCATCACATGGCCAGAGGAGACACTGCACTGTCTTAATACAGACAGACCCATTCTCAAGATGATCCATGAACTCCCGACCGCATCATCCAGGCAGGCAGAGCCTCCTGACCCAATTACCTCTCAAAGGCCCCACCCAGTCTCACTTTTTTTTGACTCACAAGGATTAAATTTCAACAGGTTTTGCTGTGGGGAAGGTCCTACATAAATTCTAATGACCACCGTATTCCTTGTAAATATTTATCATCATACTGTTTGTTGAGCCATATTTATGAACTGTTTTTTGAAACCAGGAAAGAACTGATGACCAGTGATGGTCATTTTGGAGCTCTACTGGCATCTTACAGCAAGGTGAGGTGGCTGGAGACTGTGTGGTAGGCAGAGCGGGTCCTACAAGCCAGCCACTCACTCATGTATGTAGAGCAGCCATCAAGGGCGACTCTAAGTGTCTGAAGGCGATATGTTTGCAATGGTGATGGTAGAACGTCTGTGAAGGAAGTGCCCAGGAATGAAGGTCTAACAACAGACTTTCAAGTAGCCTAACCATAAAAGGAACAATTTCTCTTCAACACCAAGAGCATTTATAAGTATCTAAAGTACCACTACACATGAAGCCAAACCACGATGGCAATTTCCCATTTTTAGGGTCCATGTATCACTGAAGAAAGAGCTCAGACTCAGACAGTATGCAAAATCGAAGAGTATTTATTCTGCATAGAGTTCCAGCATGCAGGGGTCACCACCTTCGCAAAATGACCACGACCCCAAGATGAGCTTGCAGGCTCAATTTAAAGACAGTTAGGGGAAATTCCAAGTGTGGTTAGGTAATTCATATTCTGATTGGTGGTCTGCTAGACTCGAGGTATGGGTATGGGTATGGGTACGGGTAGGCTTGGGATTGGTCAGGGGCTTGAAGAGTTTCCTGATGAGTAACTATTAAGTAACCTTATCTGCTCTGGCCAGATGTTGGGGTCGCTTCTGATTGGCTGCTCTTTTTCTGTGTGTGTGTGTTTCCAGAACCCTGGTTTTCTTTTCTGAGAAATAAAAACTTAGGCCTAGCTTAAAGATCTCAGAACTGAGGCCTGTCGTGGAGTCAGTCAGATCCCTGTCCTGGGTGTCAGCGGGGTTATGCAGGTCTCCTCACCATGATTCCATCTACTATCCATACTGTTCTCAGAGATGGCCAGATGTAGGCAAGAAACAGATTCAGAGGAGATGAACTGCTGTAATCACAATAACGGCAGGAATTCTAGGAGCCATACCATTTGGAATTCAACTTCTTCCTCATGCTGATTAAAGCAGAACTATTTTCAAACATTGCTTCTTTACTGTGTATCTATCAATCCCTGTTTTACCAACACACACACACACACACACACACACACACACACACACACACACCTGTTCCTTCTCTTTGCTTCATTTCTGTTTTACTCTCCCAGTAGCCAGGTCCTACTTTCTTCTGACACCCTACTGATGTTCCATCCTAAGGAACATTGTGAGCTATAGCTTAATGTGTGAGCCCTTTTATGCTGAGCCCAGGGCGATGGCTGGAGCTAGACTCTAGACCTAGAGCATTTGCTCCAGCCTCATCTTCAAAGCCACTAAATGATTAACAAAGCTCTCCCAGGTGAGCTTTATCTGGGTATCACCCCAAACAGTTTGTGGCATTTCTTCTGCATAATTGAAGGCAGAATGTGTGTGTGTGTGTGTGTGTGTGTGAGAGAGAGAGAGAGAGAGAGAGAGAGACAGAGACAGAGACAGAGACAGAGAGAGACCTGGGGGAGGGGAGGCAATGTACAAAATCCCTTCATCTCCCATCTCTGTGATATACCTGTCATATTTCATTAT